ATCAACTAAAATATCATTATATAGCATGTGCTTGTAATTGTAAAATTTACATCCATATTTACACCTGGCAGGCCAAGCTATGGGACATTTCTAGCACTCCAGGAGGCTCTGTGGTATCTCATCCCAATCATAATTCACCACAATATCAACTACCATCCTAATCCTAATCTCCATTATTATAAATAAGCTTTGAAATGTCATGATATCCTATATACTCTTTTTTTTTAAGATTTACACAGAGAGAGGAGAGGCAGAGAGAGAGAGAGAGAGAGAGAGAGAGAAAGGTTTTCCATCTGCTGGTTCACTCCCCAATTGGCCGCAATGGCCAGAACTGTGCCGATCCAAAGCCAGGAGCCCGGAACTTTTTCCAGTTCTCTCACGTGGGTGCAAGGGTCCAAGGACTTGGGCCATTTTCTACTGCTATCCCAGGCCATAGCAGAGAGCTGGATGGGAAGTGGAGCAGCCGGGACATGAACCAGTGCCCATATGGGATGCAGGTGCTTCAGGCCAGGGCATTAACCCACTGCGCCACAGTGCCAGCCCCAAATCATATATACTCTTATCTGGCTGCTTTTACTCAGAATAATGTTTTTGAGATTGTTTTTCCATGTTAGGGTAATTATTTTTATTTCTGTGTATGAGTGTGTATTATTATATTGTGAAACTATATTTTAATTTATTTATTCTAATACAGATACTACTTGGCTGATTTCTAATTTGGGATATTAAAGACCAACACTGTTATGAATATTCTTGTTCAAGTCTTTTTGTGAACATAAGCACTTGTTTCTCTGGGTTTATCCTGAGGAGAGGAAATAATGGGTCATAGGCATATACACATCCTTAGCAGATACTGGAAATTGTTTTCCAGTGCTTGTACCAATTTACAATTTACAATGTTACAATTTACAATTCCACTAGGCATGCTTTTTAACTTAAGCCTTGTTGATACAGCGATTGATTTTAGTTTGAATTTTTCTGGTAATGATGCTGAGTACCTTCTCATTAGCTCATTGATAACTTGGATATCTTCTTTATGAAGTGCATTTTTGTTCAGACATTTTGTTCATTTTTTAAACTAGGTAATGCAAGTTTTCACATATTTGCAGAAGACAGAAGTTCCTTACATATTTTGGGTATGGATCCTTTTTGGATGAATGTATCACAGCCAGTTTCTCTATGTACTTCACCTTCTTGTTCTCATAATGGCATCTTTTGACAAACAAAAGTCTAATTTTAATCAATAATAATCTCATTTTTGAAAATATTTATAAACATTGACTTTTCAAATTCAATTTCATTATAGATAAGTGATTTTTCCTTCCTGATAATTGAAATTAGCATACAAATTTACTTAGCCACAAAGGTTACACAGGGTTCCTCCTAAGTCATTTAATATCTATTTTCATTTAGTCTAATTGAGTCTAGCACAGAGTAAATATTCTTCACTGAGCAGCTCTTTCCAGGAAATCTATTTCTTAAGGATTTATAGGATCAAAGAACTTTCTTACTAGAAGTCTACTTGAAGCCGTTTGGGTTGCTAAACACATGGGAGTACTGGGGAGATAGTGCACCCAAAGAGGGGGTGAGTGCACCCCACTGCTTCCCCACGCCTTCCATTATTCATTCTTCCATCTGATTGTTCTTGAGTTGGGTTCTTTTATAATAGATGGACAAGCATAAGTAAAGCATTTCCCTGAGTTCTGTGAGTTATTCTGGCAAATGAGTGAACATGAAAGAGGATCATGGGAATTTTCCATTTTTAGGCAAGTCAGTAAAGCCTTGGACTTGTAATTGGCATCTGAAGTTGGGGGCAGCTTAGGGACTGTGCCTTTTACTTGCAGAATCTGTTGCTAGCTCCAGGTAGAATGTCAGGATTGAATTGATATTTATGACAACCAGTTGGGGTTGAAGAATTGCTTGTTGGGGTGCCACCTAATTGGTCACAAAAGTGTTCTGTGGTGAGTGCTGAGAATAGAGAAGGGAAAACAATTTATACTATCTCACAGTTAATTTTTAATTTAGGTGGTTGTGATGGATATTTTCCAAAGAAACAATGCAATGAATCTGAGTCTGCATTACTGACGTTGTTTTTTAGGTTAAACCGATTTTTGTGAACTGGTATTTGAAGCAATCACAGGGTTTGTAGTAGAAACTACATTCAGGTTGCAATCAGAATGCAAAGCCATCATCTTCTCTTCTTGGTTTCTGTCAGCAATTTCAGTTGACAGCAACTCCTTTTCCTTTACCAACAAATTGTTAGCCTGCTCTGTTTCCTCATTAACATTAGAGACTCTCCTTCAAGTGAGAAACAAGGACGTTTTTCTGGGAGACACAGAGTGTTTGGATTTAGACACATAGATCCTTCTCAGAGAGATTTATCTACATTTCTACTTGGTATTCAATATTTGTATGTTGGAGACTCACTTTATCTGCCAGGCTGAATTTACCCTTCAGTTCTCTGGCTTGCATTTTCTTTTTGCTTACTTCCATATTAAGTATTACAGCGAACAGAAATGAAGAAAACCTAACAATCCCATCAAATAATTTTATTTCTAGGAATATACTTCTGAGAAAACTATTATTCATATGAAGATGTGTGTGTATAAACTTGTCTTAGCATTGTTTATAACACAAGCTGGAAACAAATTCCCATCAATAGGAGAATTCATATATCCATATAATTTCAAGCTTTATGGTCATTATAAATGATGATTTAACTCTGTGTTTATCAGTATGAAAATATATCCATAAATAATTATTAATTAAAAAAGTTCAAAACAGTTTTTAATATGTGAACCCAATTCATTTTTTGTAGGGATGTTTGTATGTGTGTATAAAGTGAATTGTCTGCAAATTTATTCATGAAAGCTTTAAGGTGAACATTACTTCCCTGGCTGATGGAACATTGTATGAATATACTTCCTTCTTTCCATATCATTTTATCTATAGTTATTGTCATTAAATTTCTAAAAAATTTACTTGAGACACACACACACACACACACACACAGATAAGGTTTTCATCAGTTGATTCACTTCCCAGGTGCCCACAATGTCTGGGGTTAAATCAGGACCAAAGCTAGGAGCTGAGAACTCCATCTAGGTCTCTTATGTGGGTGGCAGGAACCCAACTACTTAAACCATTACCTGCTGCTTCCAAGGTTATGCATTGTTAGGAGGCTGGAGTCAGGGGCTGAAACTGGGCATCAAACCCAGTCACTCTGACAAGGGCTGTGGGCATCTTCACCACTAACTAGGCTAAATGGTTGTTCTCTAAAAAGTGTTTTTTTTTTTTTTTTTTTTTTTTTTTTTTTTTTTTTTTTTTTTTTTTTTTAGAGTAGTAATGGCATCTTATCAACATTGGAAGATTTGTATAACTAAATGAACCATATTTTCCAAATGATTAGTACATCATGTTACATAAGAAAATTGTACAGTCCATGTATAAGATAAACCAACAGATTTTAATGTAACAGAATATGATAAGTTCAAGGATATGCTTTCAGTTTCCTGAAATTAACTTCTAAGAAATTACCACTTGTTGCAAACTGTTGAAATCTTTACTTAATGTATGCTAAACTGATCTTCTGTATATAAAGAGAATTGAAAATGAATCTTGATGTGAATGGAAGGGGAGAGGGAGTGGGAAAGGGGAGGGTTGCGGGTGGGAGGGACGTTATGGGGGGGAAGCCATTGTAATCCATTAGCTGTACTTTGGAAATTTATATTCATTAAATAAAAGTTAAAAAAAAATTACCACTTGTTGAGTTTCGATGTGGTATGAATGCAGACTATCAATATTTCTCTGAAAAGACTACTAAAATATTCTTTCATTTTCCAAGTGCATATCTGAGAGAGACAGATCTTTTTTCAAATCCTTAAACCCAAACCGTAATCCTAACAAATTGAATGTAGAAGCGGATATGAGAATCCAGATGCCTTCTTTTAAGCCTGGCGTTAAAGAGATTTGCAGAAAATGTAAAACAATACTTTTTGTATAGGGTAAAATAGCTATTTTTCCTAAGTGCTAACATGTAATGAACTGAATTATTATTTTAAGTGAATGAGTGTGCTTCAATTATCAATCTTGTTTTACTATCTAACAGAATAAACATCAAGAGCTATAACCCATACAGACTTTCTTTGAGGCTTCTTTCAGCTTTCTCCACTCCGAGGTCCATACTTCTTTCTCTAGCAGGGAGGATTAAAAAAGGCTCAAGGACAGCCTCGTTTCAATTCTAACATCATCGCTTCCTTTCCTCCACATTACTGTTGCTGAGTAGAGTTCTAATGCCTCACGTAGGGACATATCCATTCTGAAATCCTATTCCTGAAAGTTGATTTTTTTTTTCTGATTCCCCCTCTAAGCCCACTAAATATGTCTGTATCTAAGTATATCCAAAACTTTAGTTGAGTAGGACTTAAGCTGTTTTTACCAGTGGGCTTCCTGTATCCCAGACAGATCAGAGAATGACGATACACAGCAACGGAGTGAGTCTCTTCGGAGACCCTACATGGGTCCCCGTTGAGCACCATTTTTATGGTGTCCCTAATGATTGATTATCAATTTGTTTTTAGAGAATATCCTAATTGGTGGGTTCATCACCTTATTTCTTGTTGGAATTAAGAAATCACTTCTTTTTAGATTTTTCCCATAGATCTAAAATTTCTGCAAATTAATTTCATTTTGGTCTCTTCTTTATTGAATAAGGTTGCTCGCAGCACAAATGGATTAGACTGCCCCTCTCTCTGTTTCAGTATCCAACCTCCCTGTCTATCCTGCTGTTTCTTGACTTGCACTGTGCTCATGCTAACTCTAGGGAAGGAGGAAGGGAATACCGTTGTGTTGTTAGACTTGTATGTACAAATCATCTTGAGTCTGTTAAAAATTAACTAAAATAAAAATAAAAAGAAAGAGTCCTGAGGGATCCACCCTTATGAGTGAGATTGAGCTAAAAAAAGAGAGTGAAGGGAGCTGCCTTCCCTCCTTTCCGCCAGGTGAAGATGCAGCGTTCACTCTCTACCATGTTAGATCCCAGCAACAAGGCACCATCTCTGGGGCAGAGGCTGAACTCGCCGCAGACACCGCGTCTTCCAGTCATCTGGATCTTCAACTTTCCAGTCTCCAGAACTGTAAGTAAGGCATTTCTGTTGTTTATAAGTTACCCAATCTAAGATATCTTGTTAGAGCAGTCTGAATGGCCTAAGACACTCAGAAATGACTATATAGTATGGAAGGGGGAGCATATATTTTTTTTACTGTGATGCATATCACAAATATGCATAACACACAATTTGCCACTTGTGAGTTTACAGTTCAGTGGCATTAAATACATCTATGTTGTTGTACAACCATGACTTCCAAACGTATTCAGAATGCTTTTTATCTGGCCACACGGAAACTCTGTACCCACTACACAGTAAGTTCATATGCTGTGCTCCTTCCAGTCCCCTCAAACCACCACTCTACTGCTGTCTCTAGGAGTTCGAGTAATCTATGTACCATGCACATGTAAAATCATATAATACTTGATTTGTTTTCACTGACTTATTTTCCTTATCATAATATTTTCAAATATCATCCATGGAATGTATCTCAGAATTTCTTTTGTTTTTAAGGCTGAATTACATGGCATTCAATTTATATATCTCTTTTGGTTTGTCTATTCCTTTCTTACAGACATTTGGTTCCCTTACACCTTTTGACTATTGTGAATAATGCTACTATGAATGTGATTGTACAAATATCTCTTCATGTCCCCACTTTCTTTTGGGACTTTACCCAGAACAGGAATTGTTGGGTTGTATTATATTCTAGTTTTAATTTTTTAAGGAACTACCATAGTGTTTTCCATAGTGGGTATACTTTTTTTTAACCTTACCATTACTATCTCTGTAATATCACTTAGCTATTTGTTAGTTCTATGGTGCTGGTGCAGTTTAACCTCCATGAGTCTAATACCCATTTCATAGGGTTATTGTGAAGATTAAGTAAGATGATATATGTGAAGTCCTTCATCTGGTGCCTAACATATGCTATGTAATTAATGTGCTAGTTTTTATTTTCTCTTGTCTGCTCCGACACCAACACCACTATATTACTATTTTCCTCTTCTCAATTCCTTCAGAAATTTAGCTGGTGAAAGTTGGGTACTCATGTGCTGGGTACTCACCCATTTCAAGCACATCAAACGAGGCACATGGTTCTTTCAGGAGGAGGAATATGAGGGCTATGATGATGAAAGTTTCCTTGGCTGGTATTTGGGGAAGAGATTCTTACACAGGGGAGCTGTGTATCCATGAGGATACCCTCTCTACTTAATTGGGTGCTGGGCCCTTATGTAAAAACTACATGACAATACAATGGCTAAATCATCCTTTCTAAGACTCCTCACTTCAAGGTTTTAATTAGGATCATTTCTACTTGAATAGCTTTCAGATTCACATATCACTTTGTTTCCTTATTATTTCAGACTGGCTATGTTGATTTAAACAATCAAGAATCATTCTACCTACTTGAAATGCTGATTCACTAGTCCATGCACACCGCCACAATGTTGAAGTCAAACAAAATGATGATGCTTTCAGGCAAAATCAATTCCCTTCCCTCTTTAATCTGCCCTGTCCCTCACCTTCACACTGGCCTGTGGGGGAGTTCAAAGCGCCTTTATCCAATTGAGCACTGGAGGCCAGGCCACCTTGGTCTCCCAGTCATCAACTGAAATCAGAATTTTGATTCTGGTCCTGATGAGACCCACCACTAACCACAGAGGTGATCAGGGGCACTCACTTCGTCTCGGGGCATCAGCTTTTCCACCTGCAAATTGAAAGAGGTAAATTAGATTGAAAATTCAATTAGATTATTTCACAGGCTTCTGAAATCTCCAAAGAGTCTAAGAGCCTCTGCTTTCCTTGGCAATTTGAAGTGCTGTGTGATGTCTTCCACACCTTTTATCAAAGCTAAGGAGACATTTACCAGCAGGAAGACATTTTTCCTCACATGCAAATCTACTTGTGATCAAAATGTTTGAGAATTATTGTGTTCTTACATGGAAATACACAATCAAACACCAGATGCTCAGCATTCAAAACTAAAAAAAGCAGATGAACGATCTGGTCTTTTCCATGTAGTAAACTCAGCTAAGTAGCAGGCTGACACAGATACCCTGACAATGGCTCAGCCTGGGCCCCCTCAAACAGGTTGCCTTGGAATTGTCATGGAGCCGTCTCAGAAGCTGGGGAAGTCTGAGTGATGGGGCTGGAAAGGATAAGATCTTTACTCTGTTAAAAAACAGTAAGCTCTGAAGCACTAAGAAAAAGCCCAGAGAACCAGAACAAATGGAAATGATGATTCCAGAGAGACAAATGAGGCTCTGTCAGATGTTTGTTCCAATGCATTTAAGTGGAATTGTACAACTGAGATGGCAATTGTTTTATAGAAGGCAAGAAAGAAAAAAAGAAAAATGAGATTTTTTGCAACAATGCCACTGTATGTTACAAAGAAACGTCTTAAAATCACATCCATCTATATGGAAAGATATTTATTTCTTCAGTCACAAAACACTGTGGCAAAGAGAATATTTTTAATGGTTTAACAGATTGCAAACACAATCATGTTTCTTGACATTTTCCAAAAATTAATATCTTATTTACATCTGAGCATCTATACATTTTATTGTTTAAGCTACTGTTTGAATTCTGCCAAGGAGTTAGTACAACTGGTGCCCCCTGATGTGGTCTGAACTGCTTATGTGAAAAATCACCCCACTTCTCTCTTTCTTCCCACCTCATTCCTTTTGTGCTCTTCTGTCTCTGGGGTGCCCAGAGCTTCATTAGGGGAGTTAGAGTCCCTCCACCAGCAAATAAAACAATGTCCTTAGTTTATTCACGGCACCAGCTTACTTAAGACTTCATGTTTTCCACCTCCTGGTGCTTTTTCATCTGCAGGGAGTAGGCTGTGTGTAGGGAGAATGACTAAACTGGAGTGGGTCTCAAGTTCATGGAATTTCATACATAACAGTACCTGCCTTTTCTAGAGAGAAATTTAAGGGTCCATGCCTGTAGTCATCTCACTTGAGTAACTACTTATTCAGCTTACAGTTCAGTCATCTTGCACTACACACATAGCCTTCTCTTTTCTGAGAGCTTTATTGTTCCGGTAACCCAGGTTGGAGGCTCAATGTCAGGCTTATACAAACCTCTGAGGCTGGCTAAATCTAAAATGCACACTAGGGCTTGGGCCCCTAATCATGGAGATCTGGGATGATTTGTCTGTAAATGTGACTTCTTGAACTTCCTCCTTTGACTTCCATTTTCTTGCTCACCAGCTCTGGCAGATAACTTTGCAGTGTGTTTTAATCACTTTAGGTATGCTCTCAACCCTGAGCAACACTTCTCAGCCGAATAGCTGCAGGATTCTGTGGCCCGCAGGGAGACTAGTGAGAGAAGTCTGACTCAGTTTATTTGAAAAACAACTTTTCTGATCCATAAAATTGCTATGATTCTGCTCACACCAGGAACCAGTGGCAAAAATTAATGACAAGTCACCTATCAGCTTTTATGTCTGTTTGCGTGTGCCTGAACATTTGCAGTCACCTAACAATCGTTTTAAGCTGATGTCAGCAGGGTGGCATGAGGATAAATTATACTTTTCAAGGGAATAAGAAAATCTGATTTGGAATGGGTAGGTCACAGGACTTTTCTCCAGATGAATGACTTTCTTTTGGGGCAAGGTGAAGTCAGGAAAGTTAAAATTGCTTCAGAGGCCGGGAAAACTTCCCTGCTGTGCTGGTCTCCCCAGCAATGTGAAATACATTCAGATTGTTAGTCACCTGTGCCTCAATTTTCTCATCCCAAATTATTCTTTTGAGAGAAATAAAGTAGAAAGGGAAGCTCTGTGTGAAAGTGAAGGGTCAACACACTGGACACTGGAGCCAAGAAGTTGTCTGCCTCTCTTTGCCCATAATTATTCTTCACTCTTTTCCAATGACTGGCCTCTTCAGTCAAGTTTAGATCTCGAGTTTTCTTTAAACCAGGATTTGCATAACTCGGTGTTCTTTGAAAATCTCACAGACATTCTCAGACATCTCTTGATATTTAATACATGTCAAGAAGCGATATATGCTGTTATTGAAAAAGTTTGTTCCCTGAGGTGACTCAGAGCTGACTTGTTTTTCTGTGCAGACATCTATTTGGCTGTACAATGGCACCCCAGAAAGATGTGGAGTGGTGAACAATTTAATAATTGTACAAAAAAGCATGCTGCACTTCAACATAACACATAAAATGGACTAACCTTTCAGTTTAAAATAAACTTTATCTTACAAGTCAGTTTTCCCATTTCTTCTTAGAAAGGTCAGAAAGAGAGGTGAAATTCTTTTGATCGACATGTAAAACTAAGGTTTTATTAAAAACAGTCCTAATTAATTTATAATTTATATATATCCAGTGCACCCACAGAACCAAACTTGGAAGCTATTTCTAGAGTTGACTAGCTTCTTACTTTGCTCATAGCTATGGTTATAAGCTGCAATGTTCCCACTACCAGGGGTTAACAATAGAGTGATGCTTGACAAACAATTGCTGCAGTTGATTATCTGAACCAACTGAAGGCACCTAGACAAGGAGAGATGGCATTAAAAGTTCAACTTGCAGAACATACACAGCTTTAATGACTATTATGACATTATATAATCCTGCATGTAGAACATAATGTACTAGTGCTGAAAGATTGTAAGATTTGGGTTTTCTCACTCTCCAAAAGCAATGTGAAGTATTGTGGAAGCTCAGAATTTATCCCAGTGAACCTAGATTTAAATCTTGGCACTGTGATTTACTCACTGTATAAATTAGAACAGGATAGGTTTTGTCATTTGTAACTTGAGACAAAATGAGCTTATTCTGTTCTTTTTATCTTTCAGGGTTATTATGATGTTCAAAAAAGATAATGGGATTTTTCTTTTGTAAATTGCAAAGGACTTTGCAAATGGGAATTCTATGGATCAAATGATATGCATAAGGAAACAGTAGGTTTATGGTAAAAATGACAAAATGAGGAGGAAAAATGAAATGGATTTTTGAGTGGCCACTATGTAACAGACATTTTAGGATTTTTAACCATATTTAATTCTGCCAATAATGAAACGATACCCAATCCTTCAGTTTCCAAATGAAAACCAAAGGTCAGGGGGTCAGAGCAGCTTTCTTAGTAAGATCATACAGCTGGTAAGCACCAGAGTTAGTGCTTCTTTTCATTCTGTCAGTTGTCTTTCCAGATAATAGCATTTTTCTTTGTACAAATCCAGCTCCATGCTGGAGAGGCTGACATGCACTTTATTCATTTGTTTGCTTAATAAACACTGATTCCCCATCAACACTAGTAACTCATTGTCCTTGGTTCTGTTGAGGAAACAGGAATGAATAAAATACAATCCTTGTGCTTATGTAGTTATAATTAATCCTCTATCTTTCTTGCTGATAACAGTGCAAGGATCATCAAACACACTAGAGACTCTCTGTAAGTGAATCTCAGACTCAGGATGGAGTTCTCCAATTTGTTGCAGCTTCTAGTTAATTAAGAGTCAAAGAGAAACTTTTGTTGTCTTGTGATTGAAAACCAAAAACCGAATCACCATGTTCTCCTTGCTTGGGAACTACTGTAGGAAGACTATAAACAGATTTGTTAACCATCAGAAAGAACTGTGTTCAAGTCCTAACCACTCATACCAACTGTATCAGCTTCACTTCTTTTCTCCTGACTTCTGTTTCTTTATCTATAAAATGTCCTTCTAACTATAAAATATGAATAAAACACCATCGCCAAGTTAAGAGGATTAAAGGCATGAGTGTGTGTGGGTATGCGAGTGCACATGGAGCATAATATGCATTAAGCACTCAGTTTAATGCCTGTTGTTTGGCAAGCAGAACTCAGATGCTAGCAATTACTGTAATTATTTTGTCTTTGAGGACTCATGATTTAAGGAGACACAAATCATTATTTTGAATGTCAGTTCTAATGCTAAAGGGCAGCAGAGGCAGACAGCCTGCTTAGTAGATGGGGCAGAATCCAGGAATATCTTAGGCATTTATATTGGATTGTTTTAATATTTTTAAACTAATTTCCTGGTAACAGTGTTTATTTCTGTTCTCATAAGAAGGTGTGGCCAAAAGAAAATTCTAACTAATTAGAGGTTTGAATTACTTGACTTCTGGAAAATTAAATTTTACTGCCTTTGCCCTTAAAACACTCTCATGTTTTTTTCTGGCAGTTTCACTTTAATTATAGTTGTTTGTATTCATTAAATAGTTCCTATGTATCAGACACTGTTCTAAGTGATTTTTGTGAATCAATTTATTCTTCCAAAACTCAATGTGGTAGATACTATGATTGGGCATCTATTTGGTGTGAACTTGATGATACTCAGAGTAATATTAACCACAGAAAACAATCACCACTACGTGCAGCTCTTTATTGAGGACCCATTTTATAGATGGTGATGTCAAGGCATGAAAAGATTAACTGAGTAGTCCAACCATGTATGTGGTAAGGCTAAGGCATTAATTACCCCAAGCAGCCTGGCTCCAGCGCCTATGCTAACACCATGACACATGCTACCTATAACAAGAGCTACTTCTCTGTATTTTTATGCACAATATTGAAATCAAGACTTGTAACTGAGGAAACAACCCAGGTAGAGTGAATGATGAGACCCCTTGGCCTGCGACAAATCAAAACTTTTCTTTGGTGCACTGCAGAACAAGACAACTGGAGAAGAGATATACTTAGGGTAAGTTCTGGCTTGAGCCTTATG